TATTCAGGTTGTAAATCGTGTTTTTAAAAAGTAACTAAGTAACTAAGTAATTAATTACTTTTGAAAATAAGTAATCAGTAAAGTAACGGGATTACTTTTAGGGGAAATAATCAATAATTAGTTACTGATTACTTTTTTCAAGTAACTTGACCAACACTGTTGAGCAGCAGAAGGTGAGTGTGGCGTGTCAGCTGGTGTCACTGCTGATCTGCTGGGATTTCCCCTCATAAACATTTGTAGAGTTTCCACAGAAAGATCCAAAAAAGACAAAAAGATCCAGTGAGCAGCGATTCTCTGGGAGAAAATGAGCTGATGGGAACAAAGTTACAGCTCGGGTCTGCAGAAGAGCATCTCTGAATGCACAGCATGATGGGCCATAGCAGCAGAAGACCACACAGTGTGCACATCTTCTGCCCTGCAGAGCACTGCAGCTGCGTGGCGCTCTGAGGAATGTTTCCAGCGCTTTGATGAATCTCTGCCATGAAGAATTAATGCAGGTCTGGAGGTGGAAGGACTCAAACCCGGTTAACTAACAAATTGGCATGTGAGTGTTGTAAGGTGCATTTTAAAGGTCATCATTCGTGCTCGGTGGCTTCTTCGCGTTGGAGCAGAAACTAGTTGAAGTGGTCTTCATCGTCTCCACCGCGCTGGTTTGTAGGACAGATGCTTTTTCTTCCCGTACATGTGTGCCCCGTGGGGTGAAACGGAAAAGTAGTGGGTTGATGAGGGAGGATGTGAAATAAGCACCGCAGAGGAACACGAGAAAAAAACAAAGTGATCTAATCAGCTTTCAGAGGAACAAACGAGACTCTTATTTTTGCGTCTTTAGTGTTATCTGCACAGCATGACACGAGTCCGCTCAGCCCCGCACTGAGGCTGTGCAGAGGAGCTTTCACCCTCCTCCCTCTGACCTCCGACCGCTGCAGGAGGAAGCTGTGGTCGTGTCGCTCAGCGATCAGAGCCGCATTGACTCAGAGCTCGGCAGAGGCGACAGACGAGCTGCACGTTTAACAGAGCTCTGCTCCATCACCCTCCATCAGCTCATCCATCATGGCTCTCCCAGCCCTCCTCCTCCTCCTCCACCTCCTGTTGAGCTCCGAGGGTTCCCTCTCTCCTCCGCGGATCTCCTTCACTCTCAGTAAGTCCAGCGCGTTGTTTTAATGCTGTGCTCGAGTCTCCGTCCCTCCTTTTTACGGTTTTACGGTTTTACGGTTCTGTTTTTTCTTTAAAGGGAAAAAAGTTTATGAAATCTTTGGATGTTTTTTTAGTTTTGCTCCCAAAAGCAGATTTTCTCAGTGCGGGGTTAATGATGATTACTGTGACGTGAGAGGTGATGTTTTCATCTGTTTGTCTTGGAAAAATGTAAAAGCTTTTTTGTTGCTTAAAAGTCAGAGATGCCTCTGTACGGCCCGATGGCGCTTTACACGAACCATCTAACACAGACCTGGTGAAATGTCTTAACTTTGTAATATCTGCTGTGGTGCGTTCACGTCCCCGGGGTGCTGTCCTCATTCCGAGCTTGTGAAACAGAGTCCGGTCACATGTTCAGCTGAGAATCGTGAATATGACGAGTTTGTCTGAAAACAGGAAAATGATCTAACAGGAAAGATTTCACACATAGCTGCATGTTGCAAACAGTAACGCGCACTGCACAATCCACCGGCGCCGCGCTTCATCCACGCTGCGCGCAAACTGATGTATTTCACGTTTCTGACACCAACTCGGCCCACACAGTGTTTTACTAATCAGTCACGTGCAGCTGTGTCAAAGCTGCGCTGTGCTCGGGCGTGGACGCGCAGAGGAGTCGTGCCAGATGTTTTGTCAGCTGGACGGACTTTCAGAGCTATCGCTTTCTGCAGGCTGCAGCTGCGGACACGAGTTCTCCAGGAGAGTTTGTGCAATCGTTTGGCTTCGCACGCTGGAAATGCGTATACGTGTTTACAGCAGTGGGATCGAAGCAGCTGGGATTCATCATCAACTCTCGCGGGGACCTGCGCAGTTCCAGATGTTCCCACCCAAACCCGTGATCCGAGCGAACTTCATCATTCTCCATTCTTTGCTTCTGATTCATATATAAATGATGCAGCCGCTGTCACCTTCAGTGTAAAAACACAGCTGCTGACAGGCAGGATGACGGACGGGACAGCGTCAGGCTCCAGAAGTTGGAGACAGGCTAAGTTTGCGTACCAGAGAAGCGTCGGGCTGAACTGCACACAGCTCAGTAACAGCAGTGTGGGTGCAGCAGGAGGCCTGCACTCAGAGCTCGGTGCAACAGTTACTTCTCCATTTCAGAAAAGAAGTTGGTCCTTTATCGAGTTGAGCAATGGCATCAGCCTCAGGAAACCACCAGCTTTGGTTAATCGATTTATAGGTAAATTTATTATATCTCAGAGCGGCCAATTAAAACCTGTCTGAACAAAGAGCTCCAACATCAGCTTAAACAGTCACAAGCAGGTGAAAGCTTCACTATATCATCTCACTAGTTCACAGCTCCACATGAACTCTGTTAAACAACAGTTTGCTATAATTATTAAAGGCTGAATGAAGCTCGTGCCGCGGTCAGCTCCTTGTTAGCACAGGTAACATGCATTTCTTTCTGCTTCTCCTTTTTCCTTCTTTAAAATAAAAGCAGGAACTTTAAACCGAAGCAGGAACTTTTTAAAACAAATATATGTGAAAATATATCTCAAATATGTCTGACCATGTAAAGGTCATTTACGCAAAGAAGAGAAATGTAACACTAATGATTTCTAACCTCAGAACGACCTTAGAGCGCGAGGCTTTTTACAAAATGGAAACAGAATAATCTGTGCATGAAGCTTTTAGTCAGTAAAGGATGTAGTCGTTGTCTTAAACAGCCTCTGAGAGCAACACTACACTTCCTGTCACATGGTTCGTCTTTATTATTTGATTGTTTCTCTGATCTCCACTTGTTCAGATTATCTGCCTGTTCGATGTCACCAAACATTCAGATCCCTTCTAGAAACAGTGAGTTGCCAACAGCAGACATTGCCTCGTAAAAGAACGTCCTCAAAGAGGCGAGAGTGAAAGAGTAGAGCGATTACATCTCTCATCACACCCTCGCTTTCTGAAAAATGGTCCAAAAGACTCCAAAACACAAGAAGTAAAAGGTGGAGGTTGATCCACCTGCTCAGACGGCAGGTCTGCCTCTGGCTGCTCCTCCTGTGTTTCCTGCATTGAACACACTGATGCAACACTTCTGTTTATTCCTGGGATCCAACATTTGATCTCGTTGATGGTGTTTAACCTGCTCGTGATAGCGAGCTATTATCATCCTCGTTATGTGGTGGTCCTTTGGAATGAAAGGAGAGATTGAACCCTTTTAACTTTTAGCTTCTTCAGGGATTACTTCTGCAGCCTGCTGCAGTGCAAACATATCACCGCTGCTGATGCACTGAGATTTATTTTGCAGATCATATTTGATACAAATGTGTGCAAACCACGGGCCTCGTTGTTGATGTACCCCAGTACAACCTTGGAGTCTGTCCACAAGTTCTTCCTTTAGTGTTGCTTGCTACGCAGCAGCAATGGTGACTTTCTCATTTGCTAGATCCTCTTCCAGACTGGCTGCAGTTCACTGATGGCTCAGCCTGCATCAGTCTCTTCTGTCTCACGCTCGGCCAGTTTCAAAAGCCTGCGACTTTGACAGCGTTTTCACACGGTTATGGTTCTGGTTATGGTGGCTAGCGCCGTGTTTCACACAGCCTTACGCGGCCACAACGACGACGTGATGAACGTCTCTGACATCTCCCCCAGAGCTTCAAACAACAAACAGCTAATTAAAGCACGCTGAGAAAACCTTTGTACATCTGTTAAGCTCCTGAATCCATATTGAAAACATTGGAGCAATGCTGCACTTTAAGAAACTTTTGAATGTGCAACAAATTTGTTATAAAGGTCAAACACAAACAAGGCAGCCCGAGAAAAACAAAGGAAAGAAGAGACCAAGCGCACAGCACGAGGACGATAGCGCAGCAATCAGTGATGAGCACATTAAACATCTTTACTCTCTCTGCCAACACACACCTGTGTGCAGGTGCATCGCTGCAGCCACGCCATTGGCTCATGAGTTTCCCGGTCAGGCTGCTGATTGGCTCTTTGCAGAACTGCAGAATTCTCTAGTTTTCCATCAGGACTCCTTCAGTGGCTCTTTAATGTCTTTGATTAGATGAGGTGTGTTTAAACGCTCTGCTGTGAATGCTGAGAGGACAGCGGGGGACACGATGACATCATAAATCTGTCAGAGTTAGTGTTTTCGGGACTTTTGTGGCCATCAGATCGTTATTCGTGCGGGCTTTTAGTGACACATAAAAAAACCATAAAAACCAGTCTGAGTCAGCGTAACTATGGTAACAGACGTTCATTCATGCCTGCGGCGAGATTGGAAAGCAGAAGTAATGTGATGAAACCAGAACTGCGTATAAGACACAGTTTAGCAAGATTAAGGAAGATTTCACTGCCAAGCATTAAAGTTTCAAACTGTGAAAGTCGGTAAAACCACTTTACTCAATTTAATGAAGTCACCTGTCAACAGTCTCAAGTTACAACATGCTGCAGGTTTGAGATCATCCTGGGTCAGCACACCTGAATCACATGATTAGTTCATTAGCAGGAGAACTTCAGGACATGTTGAGGAGTCATTTAGCCTTCAAATCAGCTGAAACATCTAAAACCTGCAGGACACCGGCCCCTGACGCCTGGAGCTGCCCCCCCCTCAACGTGATCAAGTTGTTTGAACTGATCCTGCCAGGCCTCTCTGACTGCTCCAACAATCGGATCAACTCAGAACTCGGATCTGGTTTGTTCAGTTCTTCTATCACAACAAAGTCAGGTCAGCTGAGGCTGAGATGACTGCATGTTCTCGTGGTCGCTGTCATGGGGAAACATATATATATATTAAAAACCATAATCAACCACTCTGTGGCATGTGTGATAATGAGAGGTTTTATATTTATAGAGTGAGGCTTCACACAAAAAGCACATTTCGTTGGACAAAGAAGAAAACACAAAGGAAGAAACTCTGAAGGGAACAAAAGCAGGAAACAGTGAAGCCGTTTTGTTGCTGTCACTGATCTTCAGCCAGGATTCGTTTCACTTTTCTGTCCTTCGCTGGGAATCGCGACATGTCTGCCCTGAGCGGCGCTCTTCGTCGTCTGAGACCAGACAAACTTCCTCTGACAGGACTGCTGCTGATCGGAGTCTCGTGTTTGTGATTAGGAGACGCTTTTCTGTCAGTTTGATCTGCTGGTGTTCAGATGATGAGCATTCCTTTGGTCCTGAAGTGGATCCACTGAGCAGACCGACCAGAGAGCCGTCCCTCTTTGGTCAGAATAAAATCGGACACTTTATCTTTTTTCTGATGCTTCTTATTACTTTCAAGCATTCAGATTCTAACAACAAAAAACAAATAAACAAACAAAAACAATTAAAAAAGCACATGTGCTGAACTATTAAAAACAAGTCCTTAAAAACCTGTGAAAGGTTGCAGGAATTCATCAGCGATCACGTTTTCACCCCAGTACTGTGCAAAAGTCTTTGAGCTGCCCCTCATTTCTTTATATTTCACTTGAAACACATAATGGACACACGTCTGTGGTTTTGTGTTGATGTTTTAGTGAATATCCTCTGAAGGTGACGTCATCGATCAGGCATGTTTGAGGTGAACAAGCCTCCGGTGGGTCGATCAGATCCACCTGAGCGTCCGACGGCTGTTTCAGTACAAAGTTAACGTGGTCACAGCTTCAGGTTCACTGCTGACAAAAACATTTCCTTATTTTGTTTGTCACAGATTCTCAAATCCTCCAACTTTCAGATAATTTTCAGGTTTTATGACCTTCAGTGGTTCAGTTTGCAGTTCAGTTATTTTATTTGAGTTGTTGGTATCAAACTAATCTCTATGAAAAGATCGAAATATCTGGTAAGATTTCTGGTTTCTGGTTAAATTGCGAGTGTGAGTAATGCTCGTGTAGGCTTTGGTTGCATGCAAGCTAAAGTACGTCATCAACCGTCCTCTTGTTTTGCACTTGTTGACCAAAAAGCCTACATGACAGTTTTTATTCATTAACCGCACAGAGGAAGCATCGTTGTGTGTTAAAGTTACTTTAAGCAAACAGTTTTATTAAAGTTCTTCGTGACTTTGGAAATCAAAATGTGGTCACCCTGTTAGGCTAAAAGTCTGCGACGCAAACGAGGGGTCCCGTTAGCTGATGATGACTTTACGTTTTATTGTCTTAGGCTACGTCCACACGTACCCGGGTATTTTTGAAAAAGCTGATTTTTCTATGTGTTTGCACCTTTCGTCCACACCTAAACGGCGTTTTTGGTCACTGAAAACGGAGATTTCTTAAAACTCCGGCCAGGGTGAATATTTTCTAAAACTCCGTTTTTGCATTTAGTGTGGACGAGAACACTGGGCGTCAAAGGTGTGCGCCTTTTTTGACGTCACACTGTGCGCCACGTTATTGTTTCGGTGAAATGAATTTCT